CCCCCCCCCCCCCCCCCCCCCCCCAGTCTTCAACTGGACGGTTGTATTAGCAGTTAGCATTAGCGTCTACTATTTTTTTTTATCCATTTAGTGTATTAGTGTTAGCAGAGCTAACGTTTTGGTTAGCTAAGCTGGAAACATCTTGAACGTGTTTGTTTACTCTGTGGATGTCGAAGCCAATAGCCAGGTTTTCTCCTCGCCCTTCTCTCAGAGTGGCTCTGCGGTCTTTCTGCTGCAGGCAGATCAGAACCTCATCCTTTGGTTTCTTCACATCAAACACGTACTGAAACACAAAACAAACACTCATCCAATCAGAGCGCAGATTCTAGACTTCTCTAAAACAAACAAAAAGGTGAACTGAAAGAACACCTGCGGGTTCTGGAGGAAGGTCTGCTTGTTATTGGTGCACCCGCCCGCCCGGTTGCAAAGCGGGTCATCGTGGCGCCGCCAGGAGCCCCGCATCACGGCCTCCTCCCAGGTCTTGTGGACACTCAGGTAGGACGTGTTGATGAGACGACAGAGGATGATATCTGTGAAGTTTGCGATGAAGTCATCAAAATTCATCCTGAGGAGAGGAAGAGGAGGAGGTGAGCAGAAATCCTGGATGATGAGTCGATTTAGGGAGACATTAGTTTAACAAGTGGATGCTGGAGATTGACAGCAGGTGACCTTACTTCACCAGCAGGGGGCAGAACTGGACTGGAACTCACCAGAACTCTCCGTCATCCTGCACAGTGACACCCATCTTCTCCCGCTCACTTTTACTGACCTTCTGCCACTCTTCAGAGCTAAAAATAAAACAAAAAACAAGAGACAAAGAGTTTGGTAATGTGAACTTAATTCTTTGAAGTAATGCTTGCTGAGTTTTAAGAAATTAAGAAAATTAAAATTGGTTTTGTTAAATAAGAGAAAGGCTGACGAGTGAGGTTCAGTTCACAAAAACATTTATTTTTATTCAAACTAATTTGCCAGCATGTTTCTACTTTTTTGCAAAATTACCTGCCAGAAGTTGTGCTTAAGAAGGAACCGACTCTTATTATATAACCAAGAAAATCATTGTTGAACTTTATTTTAGAAATAGAAAAAAGTCATCAAATGTTGCTGTTATGTCTGTAGCCTTAATTTAAAACACATTTTCTAATATCTCATGCATTTTTAAATATTTTGTTTGAAAAATATTCATTTCATTTAAAAACAAAACAAATGCTATGCATACAACAAAAAATACAAAACACAAAATGAAAGGTAGCAGAAAGAAGAAAAAAATTCTAGTCTTTTAGTCTCAGAAAAAAAATACTGGAACTGCTTTAGATTGTGGTTCCTGCTGGTTTAAAGGTGTTGAGAATCTGTTAAACCAGGAAGTGAATTCACAATTAAAGAAAATAATCTGTTTATGTGACATCACAGCAAATCAGAATATTTGGGTTTTCAGACCAGCTTTGTAAAAAAAAAAAAAAAAAAAACTCTACCTATCGCTCCAGGGCCCGTTCCACTCCTTCTCCCCCCAGGGGTTCCTCATCCGGATCATGTTGAGTTTGTCTGATTTGAAGAAGGCCAGCAGGCCGTGGCCGAGCCGAACTTTACGGACGTCCGTCACGGCGTACGCATGTCCCTTCACCAGACCGCAGCTCAGCTTGGCCTCCATGTCCGCCGCAGTGAGCGCCTGGAACAACACAAATACTGAGCAAAAACAAAACATTTGTCTTCCGTCCCGACGTGGGTTTGAGCTCCTGCTCACCCGGATGGAGCAGCTGATGAGGCCTCCTCTGTCGTGAACCTTCAGGACTCTGTCAAACAGCTCTTTGCGTTTCTCCTCGTTGGTTTTGAAGCCGTTCTCCGTCAAGTCCATCGGCTCGGACACGCCTCCGGTGAAGTTCACCAGCGCGTCGGCTGTGTTGCCCCCATCTAGACCTTCGTAGCACCCGCACATCCTCAAAAAAAAAAAAAAAAACCGCACACACAGCATACATTTAGGTAGGGCTGCAACAATGAATCGATAAAATCAATAAAAATCAATTATTAAAAGCGTGGGCGACGAATTTCATTATCAATTCGTTGGTTTGCGCGATTTATGCGTCCGTCGCCGTGTCACGGAGCCGTTTACATCACCCGCAGAGCGTTGTCAATGCTGGCTGACCTAAATAAAGTTTAGGAAGAAAAAAACCTCTACCTGTAAAGATCCGCCCTCTCTGAGACTCAGACAGAACCAACAAGTAAGAATTAAAGAAAAATCATAAATGTTAAATGTAAATAAATTCTAATTATAATAAATTAATAATAGTTTTACATCTAAAAATCATAATTTATTCTTTTTATCTATTTTCCTCATTCAGCAACCTATAAATTTCTGTTATGTTTAATGTAGGAGAAATGCACTTTTTATTCCAGTCGGTATTTAATACAGCTGGCAAAATAAATTGTTAAATATTTATGATGTGCTTCTGTTTTTTAATTCAGATTATATAAAAATCCTTCCTTTTATGAAAAGACCCTCTTGATTCAAGAAAAAACTCTTGTTTTTTTAAGAAAATGGCTGCTTATCAATTAATTGTTAGTCAATCTATAAGATAAATCAACTTCAGAAAAATTCATTAATCAATAACTTGTATCCCTAATTTATACAGGAATGAAATTAATTTATATCTACTCATATTTATGTAATAAAGCATTTTAATGATTTGGCCGATTTATCGAAAAAATAAATCGACAGATTAATCGATTATTAAAATAATCGTTAGTTGCAGCCCTACATTCAGGCCTGTTTTAATATTAGTTTCTTTATAAAAGACAGTTTTGTTGTTTCTTTGGACTGTAGCGAAACTAAAATTGTTCAGTCAGTCTTTCAGGATGCTCAGTAGGGTTGGGACAATATTGGGAAAAAAATAATCACGATTAATTGTGGTATTTAGCCGATGACAATTAATCCCCTGGAGTCCCTGGACCCCTGCATGCCCTGGTCACATGAACAATTTAAATCACTCTTTTGGGAAAGATTTGCTTTCCGTAAAAATCTGTTCCAAATTGTGTAAAAAGTACAGACTTCAGGCTACACATCAATGTTTAAATTGTGTTGATAGACCAAGTAAAACCGAAGTTATTATAAATAAATTACAAAACTTATTTTTAAATGTTCGTCATATTTGAAGCGGAGAGAAGCATCAAGCGGACTGACCAGGAAATCTCCAGTCAGTCTGCCTCTTGTGGCATTAATATTGTTAAGTGCCGAAAAATAATCGATTAAAGTTTTTCGGACGATTAATTGCACACGATAAGATTTTGCCCAACCCTAGAGCTCGGTGTTCAAAGAAGGACGACACTTTTAGCAAACAAGAGCCAAATTTCCTGCTTTCAACAAAAAACGAACAATAGCTTCTTATTCCCTTCTAATGTGAAATAAAAGATGCTCTCAAGAGAAAAAAAAGTAATTAGATGATTTTGTCAAGAAGAAGCCGTGTAAAAGAAACAGAGCTGAATTTTAAAATAATATCCAGCTCTTGATTCAGACTGGAGACCAAAGGATTTGTCAGCGTTTTACACCTTGCTGAAGTCATGAATCAGACATTAGGTGTGATTGTTTCAGCCTGGAGAAATGATGGAATCAAATCAGAATCTAAAGGGTAACGAGCCGAAACGGAGCGACCTGCTTCAGTATCTGCAGAGACATTTTGTTCACAGCCGAGGAGATGAAACATTCACTGTTAAACGTGTTGTGGCGTCTCCGGCACCTCCGACTCTCTGAGAACTTGGATAGTTTAGCTGGGAGAGAGTTACCAGGAACACCACATTTACAAAACGCTGACGACTCCAGTGTTCGTTAAACATCATCCCGGTGCTTTCAGGTGAAGACTGAACGGTTTAAGTGCTCACTTGGCGTAGGCCTTCTCCACCAGAGCGCTCCAGAACTCGTTCTTGTCGTTGGAGTGACAGTAGACCAGCTTGTCGTTCACCGTCGGGAGCCGGTCGTCGATCACCACGTCCACCCACTCGCCGAACCGCCAGAACCGGAAGTGGAAGATCCCGGCGTAGGATTCTGGTTTGTCCTTGTCCCACTCCTGGTCCTTCCAGTCCGGTATCACCTGGACACAGAACCTCATCTGTTAGAGCGGTTATTATTAATTATAAGAGTGTTTAAACTAAAATTAATCTCTGAAAACAAATAAGTATTTATTATCGCCCCTCAACACTAGTCTTTTATCTTTAACTATCAGAATAAATCAGCTTAAAATTTAAGTTTGGGCTTTTTTTTCTTATGATATATTCATCCAAACACTAAATTACAAAAAAGTCTCAGTTTCTACCTGACGTGAGCACCAATGACAGATTACAAAGTTTTTACCAAGGGAATGCCATTCATCCGTATCCTGAAAGTAATCCCTGCTGACATCGCATTAACGTTGATGTAACAGAGTAACACAAACACACCGACATCATTCGAAGACAGGTGGAGGATATAAATAAGCACGAGATCCATTGAGCCGAGACGAGCCGAGCTCCTGGGGTCCCTCAGGAAACTCCCAGCGTTCCCTCCTGTACGTCATCAACATCCCTGTTGCCTAGCGCCTTCTACATCACTCACCTGCTCTACACCTTTAAAATAATAGACTTTAGACCTTTTAAATTAAATTGTTTCCATATTATAATATAATAAGATATTTATATGAGCATTCTTTATTCGTTTTTTGGGAAAAATTACGACCTTTAGACTCATTTTATGCTTCATTTATGTATAAAAATCACTCATATTCTCATTAAAATGTATAAATGAGTGGTTAACGTCACATATCAGGCAAAATTATTAACGGGATCACAAATAACGACACAACAATGCTGTCAGAATAATTAGCTCTTTGAATCGATTTCATGTCCCAGAGCTCTCCCGGTCCTCTCAAGCCAGTCAATATGTCCTAACCAAAACTACCCTGTGGGCAGGAGGGGGGGAGGAACCGGCTGTGGGTTAATGTGAGAAACTGGTACACAGTGATGGAAACAGTCAGGAGGGGAGGAGGCGGTGATGAGTCTATAAAACGAAGAGGGAGGGATGGAGAGGGTGAGACTAAAACAAAATATTTGCCACAGCTCCATCCATCGCTGCACCTAAAACCAGGAGCGCGACCACGAAGACGGACATGGACACGACTCCCTCTGAGAAACTGGTGCTGGAATTTATTAAAGACACGGCTCTGACGGAGGTGAGCTTCACACTCTGAAATCACAACTTCTCACTTACAGACACACGACAGTGCCTTCACAACGTGTGTGCGGTTACGCTCAGAATAAAATGCAGCTAACTGAACAAACATCATCCCTGAGAGGATTATCATTAGGCACAACCTGTTTGTAGACATCTTCCTAAAACGTTGCGAACATGTGTTAAACACAAAAAAAATGAATATATTATTTTTGGTACCGAGCAGCTTTCTTAATGGATGCTTCATAGCAACATGTGTTTGCATTGAAACATCTTTCTGTTTTGGTGGATGCAACTGTTTTCGAGCTCATCTGCGCCTGACGTTCAGCCTTAAAACTCTGCTGCTCTGTGGGATCGCTCAGAGTCATTTAATCTGCATGTAAGCAGCCACAGAGGACACCCTCAGCTGATGATTCTGAAAGGATAAAGAGTTGAGGAGGAGTCTGTGTGCACCAGGATTCAGTCAGTTTAACTGCTGCGTCTGCAAATCACAAAACTAAATCAATGTGTGTTTGTGGCGTGGCTTTGAACGGGTTCATTGATTCAGCAGCACTGCTGTGATTTTTAAAAGCACACACTGGGACGGTGGTACATGCACTCTTTTGGTTCCTTTTGGTCAGATTGAAGCAAAGAAATTAAAAAGCCTTTTTTTAAAACATCTCACTGACAAGTTGAGAGTCAACCGAGAACCTGCTTCGAAGTTAAGTTTTGCAGTTCCTCTTACATTTGTGCGCTCTCTTCCTCTGCAGATGATGCGTCGTCGCGTGTCCTCCCTCCAGAAGACCGGACAGAAGCGTCAGGACGGCGAACGCCTGCTCCTCCCGCATGAAGCCGTGTACCGCCTGGACTTCTCCGTCCAGGAGCTGAACTTCTCCCGCTGGTACTTCTCGCTCTCGGGCCACGGCCGGGTCACCGTCACGGGCATCTCCCAGCACTGGACCCCCGACCTCACCAACCTGATGACCCGCCAGCTGCTGGAGCCCATCGGGACGTTCTGGCGGAACGCCGGGGACCCGGAGGACTCGCCGCTGAAGTGGCTGGAGGCGGACATGCAGGAGTTCGGGGAAAGGATTGCGGAGCTGGCCAAAGTGAGGAAGGTCATGTACTTCCTGCTCGCCTTCAAAGACGGAGCAGAGGCTGCAAATCTCAGCTGCTCCATCGAGTTCATCCCAGAGAAATGATCGATAACTCTCAGCCAGTAGAACCCTCGTCCAAACACTAGGAACGCATTTAAATGTTTGTTTTTTCTCACCATCAACATGTTCTCCACACGTCTACGTTATCTGTACTCATAGTCCCAAGAAAGCTAAATTTAATCCATAAGTATTTATAAAAAAGTTTAATTAGTTATTTAATAAAAGAACAAATGCAAAACAAAAAACAATAAAGCAAATATTTTAATAGTAACTCGTTTTACGTTTCTCATGGTGTTAATATTGTAAATTTTTTTGAAATCAAAACCTTTTGGAGGTAAAACAACAGTCAAATCAATTCTTTAGTCCAGTGGTCCCCAAACTACGGCCCGCGGGCCGGATCTGGCCCGCCTCCCCCATTTGGTCCGGCCCCAGAACAATACCAGAGAGCATTTAGTTTTTTTTTCATATATGTGTATTTATATTTGATTATGAAGTTGGACTTTTGCAATAAAATGTTCCTTAGTTATGAACTATTTTCGTTATTAACTATTATTAGTTAGTAACTATTTCATACATACACGCATATAACGTGACATTCTGTTCCACCCTTCTGCGGTCTGTGCCCCTATCTGGCAACCCCCAGAAAAAAAAAATCCTAAACCCGCCCCTCTCAAAGAGAGAATAGAATAATGGCGAAAAGATTAGGTAAGAGAAAAATTGATTCAGAATGCAGGGCATTTAAGCTGCAGTGGACAAACGATTATGTTTTTGTTCATCTGTCAAGAGGCGGTGGCGGTATTCAGAGAATACAATCTGCGGCGACACTATGAATCCCGTCACAAAGACAAGTATGATAGCTTGCAAGGCCAAATTCGAGCAAACAAACTCTCAAAGCTAAAAGATGGACTGTTAGCTCAGCAGAATACAGACTGTGAAGAACCCAGAGAGGGTTATTTGATTGTGCTTTCTGGAAAACAATAAATTTTTACATTTAGGCACTCCTGCAATTGTCACACTTTTTCTGTTACAAACTGACTCCGGCCCCCCACCAGAGAAGGGAAAAGTTACGTGGCACTTACAGGAAAAAGTTTGGGGACCCCTGCTTTAGTCACTAAAATAGTTGTAGTTTTTGACCAAATACAATAAAACAAACTAAAAAAGTGAATTCTTATTTTTTAAAAAGATTTCTTTAATGTTTTCAGTGCTTATAAATAGTGGCAGAGAATGATTTATTAAAGTTCCACTACAAATAACTGCTGCTTATAAGTAGATGTCCAATTTAAAAAGAAACTAGGGATTTTTTTTTCACCTATGTCTTACCCTTTGTGTTTTTAACAATTACAATAGGTACAACAAACAGTAGGGAAACAAATACAAAAATTAAAAATACATAAAAGAAAAAAAAAAAAAAACAATACACGAGTTATGAATTCCAGAGGAGTCAGTATCAAACCAGTACACCTGTGCTGTTGTATAACTTCTCATTAAATCGTCCCAGATTAGAAGTCTGAAGGTTTAAATAGGTCAAGTTTTTCATATTTGAATCTGTAGAATAAGAGTTCAACATCTTAAGCGAAACAAGTTCCTATATTTTTACCTGCTACAATTTTTTTAATTAGTTTTTCTTGTTCATGTAGCACAAACAAAACGGTCAGAATTTGAAGGGTGATCAAACTAAGAACAAGAATTTCTAACTAGATCTAAAACTAAAAAAGATTAAATTCACTGAAGGAACGCTGTTTTATTTCTTGTAATTTGACAAACAGTTTCTGTTTAAGCCTGTACAAACCGACTGCTTCAGGTTGATCTGTTGGATGTTGTGTGATTCAAATACCTGAAGTGATGTGCCAATAAAAGTGTTGATAGAATTCCTACCTGTCTTTGTTTCTCTGTTATTTTTTTAAATATTAAATCCTCCGTTGGTTTATGAGGTAATAATGTAATTTTACTAAAACCAGTTATAGTTTGAAATGATCTCCAGAGGTTTAAATTATTTTTTTTTTCGATCCAGTGTTTGTTTTGAACCATGAACGGTGTTTAGACAACTGGTGGGTCCACAGAGACGATGACACCTGGAAAACGCTTCGGTTTCCTTTCAGGTGATGGAAAAACACAGAGGGAGGACCTCTGAGACGAAACACAAGGAACGAACAGTGGAACAGGAGAAACACACAATCCACACAGGCTGGACACAGAGGCAGACCAGTAACCAACGTCACACCGTAATTACTTTTGTTCTAAACGTTCCAAGAAAACATGTTTCTGTAGGTTAGAGGCAAAAGAAACAAATCTGATGGACCTCCTGGACCAGAACAAAATGGCCACATTGTTCTCTCAACATTTTGTTCACAACTTTGTACGTTTCAGATCTTTGTCTCGTGGGCTGGTCCAATGACGCCCAAGTCTTGCGTCACATTTTCCAACCATCTTAAAAGGCAAAACAATAAGTTCAGAACACGTCTGGAAGGATCCTCCAAGTCCTCCTGCAGCCAACTGCGTGCAATTCAGCATTTTGTGTTTGTCGTTTTGTACAAAGAAACCCTTTGTTTTCATGTCTTTGAACCACCACATTTCTGGTGTCGCTGCCTTCATCTTCATCCAAGTAGCTCAGTCTCAGCTTGTGTCTAGAGATGTAAAGGCCCTGTGAAACTATAACGTTTTAGACAACTTATGCCAACTTGTGAAAATTAGTGCTGTACCAAACGATTATTTTCTAATTGATTAATCTAACGATTATTTTTTCGATTAATCGATTATTCTAACAACAAATCTAAAAGTTTTTCTGATGTGAGTGCACTGGATATTTACAATGTTTTCATCAAATTAACAAGAACAGTTCTTTAATATTGTAATATTTTCTGTAATAGTC